ACGCGAACCTTTCGTCCTGAATCGACGCGCGTTCCCTATCACCGATTCATTTCACCCGATGTCGCTTGTATGTGACGTCAAGCCACTATCAAATGACGTAGATAGATAGATAAATAGATAGATAGATAGATTAGTAGATAGAAGGAAAGGGGGGAGATTCAATCAAAATATTTTTATATATATTTTTAAGGATATCCCGTACATATCGTATATTTATATCCCTTATATATACTTCATATATTACATGCTCCTTAACACGTGATCGGGTCATTTTTTACCCACTTATGGATCCTTCTTTCCCATTTCTTTGGATTTTCATTACTGGAAGACCCGTCTTCGTCATAAAACAATTAAACAATATCATAAAGTTCAAAAAAGTTCGCGGATAATTGCAGAAAAAAAAGATGAGTGAAAAATGATCTATCCGTGGTGCTACGAAGATGCGTCAGGACTCAAAGGGTTAAATTGATATAACGAGTAACAATTAGAAGAACACGTGTGTTCTCTAATCTACGGAGTAACTCCGACGTAAATTGCACGGAGTATTAACTTCGTGGGAAACGCGGCCGGGTTGAAGTCCCGTGGACGTTTCCCGACCAGCCTTTACCAGCTGCGAGGCTCGAAGATGATCGCACGATGGCTCTCGATATCCCATAACGAGCGATTGGAGGCAGCGCGAGAGCTCGTAGTCTCGAGTGCCCGCCGACGTGGACGACGACGTCAACGGCGACATGATGTTCCTCACCTCGAAAACGAATGCACTTCACTATCTTTCTCTCCCCTTCTCCTTCCCCCCGTTACCCCGTCACGTTTATTCACATGCTTGGAGTGACACACGGGCGTCGTAAAAGCGCCGGCGTCCTTCAGCCCGGCCGTCGTCCCGCGTGGACGATTATTTAATAACGGCCGTATAATTAGTATTCAGTATTCAGTGAATTATACCGAGTGATTTTACCTCGTTAGACTTTATGCGCGCGGCACGTGGAGGCCGCCGTCGCCGCCGCCGTCGTAGAGCCGCTCATAAAAATCACGGTGGCGCCGTTACCGTTAGCGTCGTGCATTAAAGTACTCGGCCCGGAACGCAGGACTCACCACTGTTCGAGCGAGCCTTAAAAATTAATATCAATTCAAGACTCATATTCTCATATATAAATCAGAACACGCAATGTTATTTCTCGCGAAGCGAGTATAATGTATTCGTACATCAACCCTCTGCGGTTTTCGCGTAGCGCACCGACTCTATAAATAAAGTCCGGAGCGCGTACGCCGGCTTTCTTCTCCCGAAGGTATAAATTAGTGCGCCAAGTGCGCGTATGTACAATAAACGCACTGCTTTCTATTTGATTATTTATTCCTTAATTGGATAACGGGAATTACCCGTGAAACTTTCCTCGCGCGTCCGTTTGTTCGAGGAAGCGACGTTGCAGTGTGTTCAGTTACTTACTCGTTCATCCACTTCGGAAGAACCGGGGAATTTTTAAGAAGACTGCGGTGAGAATTGTCAGGGAATTTAATGGGCTCGTAACGTCTACCGATATGTAAAGTTGATCAGCGGAATTGATTTTATTTCAAACGCACTGAGGGAGGTTCGCGGCTCGCGGTCGACGCGCGATTTTTTTCTCGTCGATTTTCGCGGAGGTCGCCAGGAGGAGTCCGTCGCGACGGGAGACTCGGGGAAGGCAGAATGCCGCAGGTTAACCAAGGCTGACAGCAAATGCAAAACGGACGAGCCAGTTTGAGACCAGGAAGCCGTTTGCGCGAAGCCAGCACAAGTGGCAGCCGGGGCAATACGATGTCCCCTCTCCCCCGTTTATTGTCCGTTCTTCCGTCCGTTCGTCTATCCGTCCGTCCTCGCGCTGCTCTTTCACGTGATTATTTTTGCCGGTCGCGGACACAATGAGCGATCTCTGGCCGGTCCCATTGTTCCCGTCCGCGGCGCGATACGTTTTGTACGGCGAGCACCGCGCGAACCCCGGCTCTTGCGCACGTCCACTCTCGCGCATGCATGAGAGTTGCGCCCGGGGATTTATTTTCCCGAGTAGCAACGCTCTCTCGAACGAACGAACGTATCTAAATATATGTACGTCGGCTGCTGCGAGTGGAGAGAGTTCGTTAATTGGAAATAATTGTCTGCGCTTTTTCTCATCGCCATCAGTCGATACCCTGTCGATCCTATTTCACGCAAAAAGTGGGAATCCGTTATGCCGAAGATATCCCTCTTTCAGTTACGAAGTTGGTAGCGTCGTAACTGACTTTGCTTGTGTTCTGTAACGTATATCGGCTGATATGATCCCTATTTGTGGATATGATTATTAGGCACATCGTAATACTGCGTTATAAGCGATCCTTATAAGGCCCTACTTTGGCAGTTGTAACGAGATCTCTTATCCCGGACTTCATACGGCATATCTACTTATTACTAAAGGCTCGGATCTTATCGTCCTTATGAACGATGACGTCACTATCGAAGCCTAATCCGACGCATTAGATACCTAATCAGGTTCCTTGAATATAGGCTATTTCATCGGGATCTGATGCGATATTGCGTATCGCTCCCTGATTACGACCGGATCCGACAAATTATCTGTTTGAAGTACGGAAACCGAATAAGGCTTCTATAAGGTCGTACGACGGTAGTTTGCTCGGGTGTTTCTCTGTGTGTGCCGTGGCTCTAAAGTAAAGAGGTCGATGAACAAAATAGTTGGAAATCATAACATCAACTGATCCATTACGAACTAAGCAAGATAAATTACAGCACACTCTCTCTCTCTCTCTCTCTCTCCATCAACTTTGTAACTAAAAGGGGCATTCTCGACGCATCTAAAAAGTGTAGTCCAGTAGAATAAGAAATTGACCAACCATGTTCGAATGTAAGGAGAACAATCGATTGGGACAGGTGAATTTTTTTATTTTTCTTACAAACATACTCCTACCGCCCATTAGTAGACCACATTTAACGGAACGCGTCTAAGATTTCCTTACGCGCGGAGACTCCTTCAGTGCTTTCGTCCTTCTTTCTTCCTCCACCCCCCGTTTCTTCCCTCAGACCGAAGCGAGCGTTTCGCGGGCGGTCGGGATTGACGCGCGCATGCGGTCGGGATTCTCGGCGCGGCTCGTTAACTTTTACTTTACGGTCGCCCGACGAGATGCGAGGGAAAAAACGGGGGGAGGAAGAATAAAAGCCGAGCGGGAATATATACGGCTTATGCATTCCCCGAGTGCCGCTATCGGCCTCCTCCGTCTTTGTGCAAATTTCGTTATCTCTCTCTTTCTCTCCGCGCGAGCGGCAGCGCGCTCGGCGGCGGATAATCGCGCGCTCGCGCGGATTTTACGCCGCCGTCGGCTCGCCTCGATCGTTATCTATGCAACTACTCCGCGGCCTGCGCTACATTGCGCCCGGCGTCATATTTATAGCGACATCAGCATTCATTTTTAATACCGCTGAAACAGAAGGCGCCAGCCTTTCATCCAGGTGCGCGCGAGCGGCCGCGCACGATATCGACCGGCCGTTTGTTTCGTTCGCGTGTGCGCTCGCCTTCGCGCGTAATAATAAGAACCACCGGCGGGGGTTTTTGCGAGAGAAACCGCGGCGGCTAATCTCGGGACCGGCCGATGAGAGACCGTCGTGCGAGCGCGAGAGGTACGCGCGGAGAGACCGCTTATTTTCGACGATCTTTCTCTCTCCCGGACTGACAGCGCAACGCGCATAATTGCTTTAATCGGCGCAATTAGGAATGGTAATCGCGGATCCGGCTGTAATCGCTACCGATTTCCTCTCTGTCCCGTCCCGCGTCCTCTCCTGTCGCGCGAATCCTGTTCCGCGATCGTTGCCGATATCACTCGACCGAGCGTTGCGAAACCCGCTGATTTAGGCTGCCTGCTCGACGATCCGCGTGATTTGCAACGGTGATTTTGTTCGGGATTTCTTAGCTGCTAACATTGAAGACGCTTAAAGATTTATAGCTGGAGATCCCGAGATTTACGCACGTGTACGACGTAAGCGTGACAGTTCTGATTGATGACTTAATAAATCAGTAATTCTCATCCCGTGAGGGAATAAGTGAATTGGGCAGCGGACTCACTTATTAATCATTTAAACAGTTGGCTTACTTAAGTAGTTCTTACTTTAGTTACTTTAGTTACTATTTTTACTTAAGTACTTTAGTACTCGAATAATTTTCATCCTGGAAATATCTCTGAGAATCGAGCTCTATCGAGTTCTTACTTACGTTTCCTACGTAATATTATTACAACTAATGAAAACGCGTTAATGCTAGATAGTAACTGGGTGGGGTGACTAGGAAAACTGCATACATTTCTACCCGGGACTAGTTCATGGCACTGATCCTCCCGTAAATACGATTCCATCGGGAAAACGCGTGTTAATTTGCGCGATATCGCCGAGATTGCGATTAAAAAATGTCAGTAACCGATATGAAACATTCTGCGTAAAACGTAACGTAACGTTCGATTACAGAAAAAAAGTGCGACGCTCAGAAGAATATCAGAAAGCGTAAATAGAACTTATCCGCTCCCATCAATTGTCAACAGTCCGTTATCAGCCGATCGAGTGATCACAACAATCAAAACAGACAGTACTCGACCTTCAAGCCGGTCAAACATACCTTCGCGCGTCACGAATTTTTCCGAATATTCATAACGTTTCGAACCGGCGACACGCGTGTGTGCCATGGAATAACATGCATCAGTACGTTATTTTTCTTTTCCCCGCGGGCGATTAAAATATTTCGCCGGCTGTTTTGAAAGATTTAATCGGACTCTCGTCGGCATCGCGTTTTATAACACGTGTATCTTCGATCGAATCGTATCTACGTGAGTAATGTGTCAATCTCAGTGTCAGTGCTATGACGAAGCAATCAGGAAGATTGGGTCGAGAAGTCAGGACGCCGGCAGTGATGCGTCATATATTTTCAAGGTACGCGAATTAATTTATGAGATGCAGGTGGTTTCCGTTTTGAACAAATGTTGAACGAATTTATTGAGAACAAGTAGATACGAAAAGTAGGCCGAAATTTCGGCCGGCACATTCATAGCCCCGTCATCATGATAAGTAATTATAACTTCATGAATATCCTGTTTATTTGTCTATTTGTATGAGATAATCAAATATTAAATAATTCTTGCACAAATATTTCTTCGGGCTTCTTCAACATGGAGAAATTATCTGTCGCATCAAGGTGGGACACCGACTTGTATTGCGTTACATCCCGCAGTTTTTCATCTTCAAGTTTAAATGCTTTTTACGATCGGCTGGTTATCCATGCAGCCTGAAATATATACAAATGACGCGTAGGGAAATCTGCTTGAGGAGATACCTCAGCGTGATTCTTATCGTATGACGAAAGACCGATTGCTCGAACATGCTCGACTTTATCTTGAAAATTACTTTATGCCTTTCGACGAGCTCAGTATTAGAAAATAACAACGAGGAGCATTTCTTTTTACAGTCCTCCTTTGGTTTTTCTTTCTTTAAACACGTCAAGCTGCACTGATCTTGCGTCCGTCGTACGAAAGTTCGACTGAATATCGCGTCCGACTCGCAATAAATAACAGATGCAATTTCCGACGCGTAGCTTACTTTTTGCCGCGTTTAATTGGTTCTTCATTGGCTGCGCGTCTAATTCATTGCTCGCAGTTCGAGTTACATCTTATAAGTAAATTAATGAGAGAGAGAGAGAGAAAAAGAGAAACTTGTTGGAATATCGTTGGTGAACGCTGGCCACCGGTGACTATCACGGCCACTCGGACTATTAAGATATGCGCGCATCACTTCGTATATCTTCGAGATTGCTGTGCACGAAGTAGGCCTCTCTTTCTCTTTCTCTCTCTCTCAAGTAAAGCAAGCGGGTTTCCGGCCGGATTAAAGTAAGTCCGTCCGCGCGTTAAATTACGTCAACGTCGTTGGAGCACTGCTCCAATTAATTCAGCTCGCATTGGCACGTCTTTCGATAGTCGCGATAGTCCATTTTTGTCGGCGCATCAGCCGCCGCTGCGTGTCGGCAATCATAACACGATTCTTCCCTTCGTTCTTTCACACGCGGCGTTGTGTGAGCTTTGCCTCATTGCCCTGGTAGAAATCGAACCCCGTGGGTGTCTAGCAAGGTAGTAAATCAGTAGTGTCTAACGTCACTACTAGCCAGTAAGTCCGGAGCTACAATAGGTGTGGAAAGTCTCCAGTCTGTTGTTCCAAGCGTTAAATTGTCACGTGATTTCCAGTAAGCGTTTCCAGTGTTACGTAGGAATTCCTTCAGATTAGTGTTATTGCGACTTTCGGCAATGCTGGAAATGTTTTTCGTCAAAAATTACGTTACATTTTATTGCTTAGAGCGAAAGACTGAAAACATACCACACCATTGTTTGTTATATTTTTTTTTTTTTAGATTTATCTTATTTCTCGCAACCGCGTCACTTCTCTCCGATTAATCAGTCAGCGGTGAACTAGCAACGAGTTGGAACATTTCATCTAGCCTGCATTAATTAGCTACTAGCTTTTGATTCAGGCCGACTAGACTATATTTCTACTCGGGTATAAGCGAAATCGTATATTCTCGGCGTTCTCGCGCTTGTTTCTGGCCAACGCGAGCGGATAGGCGAGCGGGTCGGTGGGACGGAGCGAGATAGAGTCGTTTGAATTAACGAGGGGCCGCGGTGGTAAGTGATAAAGGTATCCCGCGACGATCGCGGTTAATTCCCGGGCACGATTAATCTGTCTGAATTACTACCGACTTACGCTCGCTCATCGTTCGACGTTTAATTACAACCGTCACGTACCGTGTTCGTCGCGCGCGCGCGGGAGGTGCGATGACGACGGTGGCTTGCAGTCACGCGGTTCCTTCCCTCGCAGACATCTTCGGATCGATATTGCTTCGGATATCCCCCGCGTCGCAATTTAGATCTGCATCTCTGACAGCGGCTTGACAGCTTGAGTAGCGTCTGAGAGCGTCTGTGAGAAGTTCAACGTGAGATTGAGATCTAGACATTATGCTGTGGAGTATCAAAGCGGCAAATGAATAAGTAATTCGAGACTATTTGACGGGAAACGGATGAATTATTCGATGCCAAATGAAAAAGTAGAACCTTTTGATCGGTCGAGATACGGGTGTAGGATTTAAAAAATTCTTAATCTGAATTTGGAAGATACTTTTTGTTTTTTTTTTTTTTTTTTTTTTTAGAAGAAAGCGTCAAAACTGACGCAAGTACGAAAAGTCGACACATCCATATTTCTCGTGGTAAAAATTGTATCGAATTCTGTCAGTACGTGAACTTCACCCACTCCTTGCAGCAGATAGAATCGAAATGATAGTTTCTGTTTGCAAGCGCGTTTAATTACGTTATAGTGAAAGTTGACTTTTCGACGTGCTGACGTTCCTCTCGAGCTGTTTTCTCGTAAATTTTTTTAGTAACAAATCAGCGATAAATAATTTATCGAATAATATTATTTTATAATGTTAGTTTTGAACTTTTTAAATCGTCTCGGGTCTTGCGTCTTTTGTCAATAAACAACGCGAGAAAGATTAGGATTAAGTATAATGTCTGAAGACGAAGTTAAGACGGTTTTATATATAAAATCCGACTGTGAATACCGGCCTTGGTGTGTCGCGACAGAAGAGAGATTCCGTGCCTTATCCGCCTTCGTTTCTCGAGAAAAATGAAAAGGGATTTTCAATCAGCACGAGGAGAAGTCCGTTACGAGGCGGTAACGTCGCGTAATTAGATATCATGCGGGCACTTCGTGCTATAAGACGGCTGGCTGGCAGACCGCGTGTGGATTTCAAGTTTGCCCAACGTGTGTCGCATGCATGTGTGCGCTCTGCGAATATAATTACAATAATCTACACCGCGTGTTTTAAAGATAGAATTTGATGCGGGCGACGCTATCTCGCGCGCGGCGCGGGATACGGTTTGTCGTTTTTTTCGCGCACGGAGCGATAAATATGGGAACGATAAATACGGCTGCTCGATGTTGCTGCGACAAGCGCGCGTAATGCAATAACAAATGGAATTTACGCGAGAGGCGTCCGCAAATTACACGTTTCGCGTTGGTCCGCTCGAAGAAGCGGCCGTTCGGAGATACCCCGCGATTTGCACAGGATTGCAAATCGAGCCGCAAAGAATCGGAGTTTTCCTGCTGAGGAAGTTAATGCCGTATTTGTTCGCGTTAATTATCACACGACTTTTGGAAAGCACACGAATACAATATTAAATTGACATATTTTTCTAACGTTAAAGTAAGGCAAAATTTCGTCAAACTTTTCGGCGTCGCTCCTAAATGCAATCTAGATCAATTCGTAACATCGTCATTGTTTTGCCGTCGCGATATATCCTTAATTATTAGCGTTGCGCCGCGCGTCACGGTCCGCCAATCTGTGCACGCTCTCTTTCCCTTTCCCCGCGGCCGCCTTTTCGCCCCCTCGTGCGGGTTCTGTGGTTGCGCAAGATTTTGCACAACCTCGGGAGATGCGGACGTGCGATGATCTACCACACGACCGCCGACGATGTACGGCGCGTCCATTATTTATTGTTTCGTAAGGTGCGAGCGTGTAAGCAGCTTCGTCAATCGCGATTGTTCAGCGGCGATAGTCGCGCTCGCGCGCGCGAGAGGAAAGAAAGATGAACGTGGCCGGTGGGAGACGCCGCGCGTCGATGGGAAAGTCGAGGCATTCCACGCGGCGCCCTGCAAAGGGCGAGCTTCTCGCCGACCGTCGTCTCCGGTGTCCTCGTGTCGCTCACCCGTAAAAGGACAGATCGCGGCGACGCGAGTAGAAGGTCCATGAACGCACGTCGTAAATGTTATCATAATTTTATGCGCGTGTTGACACATTAACTGCAAAACGCGCGTTATCTCGTAACTGGTGTGCGAAAAGAATTCTCCGTTCCGCATATAGATCAGCATGCGCGTTAACTCGTATTTTATTATTTTATGGGTTTCGTTGAATAATAGATTAACATATTAAGATAACGCGCTGATCCGAAACTGCGCCGGGAATTAAGTAATTAACATAAGGCTGTGGCACGTCGACGTGTTAGCGCGCTTTGTGATCGGGAATTGAAGCGAATAAACTTATAAGAGGAAATTCATGCGATCGCTGAATGTCGACTGTCGGGGTTGAAATAATTTGCCACTGCACCGCATCGCACGCAAAAAAGTAAAAGTGTTAGAATCAAGTAAACACAATAACCTGCTTTTTCAGTTTCTTATATCAAGTAATATTTTTATCGATTAAAATATAGTTTAACAGCTTGTAATAAATATTTCCTCGAATCGCGCAACATGCCGTTTCTTTTACCTCTCAACCTTACGTATAAATTTTCACGCCCACTTACCTGAAAGTCAGTCGGGTTTCTAACAATAACCAACAATTCTCGTCACTGGCAAATATTTACGGTAACCGATTCCCGAATTACCTTCTCCTCTCCGTCGCAATTACAAGTCGTCCGAGGCGAATTCTCCAAGGCGCGAAATTGAGTTTCGCGCGGGGACGGCCGGCACATACGGCGAAAACGAGAACGCAGAACTCGTTTGTCGTCCCGCGTGCGTGCACTGCCACCTTTTAAACGCGCACGGCCCTTGCTCCCGTTTTATCGTTTCGCGACACGACGATCTGCTGCACGGCCGATCGCCAGGTGTGGGAGTGACTGAAAGATACCCAATTCGATAAGACAGCCGATCGTCGGACAATGCCGCGACGCTATCGATCGGAATCGTAAGCGAGCCTACGGGCCGATCGTTCGACGATAGATGACCCGAATCGTTAAGAGCTTCCGCTGCGTGTACACGTACACGCGCATGAATATGCATACACGCGATCGACGGCCGATTATGGCGGCCCCCGGCCGACGCACCCGATCATTTTCCTCCGTCGGCGATACTTTCCTCGATCATCGATTTAATTGCAATGCCGGCCGGCGAGTGTTTCGCTAGTGCGATCTATAAATAGATAGTTAGATAGCTAGGCAAACGAACAACTAGTCGAAATATAATAACTATTATTCTAAACAGAAAAAGAAGTCTTAAGTTAATGATAGATATTCTCATACACGTAAGCAAGAATATTATAATATTCTTAGAATACTATAATATTCTTAGTTTTTAATTGAGCACAAATAATACAAATTCAATCAAATCAAGACTAAAAGTCTGCTAAGATTATAACATTCTAGCTTTAAGAATCTAGACTTTTTTCTCTTAAATTTTCTTTATCGTGTATACCGAAGGATTTTTACCCGTTAAAAAATGAAAATAATAATAATCCTCACCTTCGCGAAGCGACATCGACGGGATCGAGAAATATGAAATGTCCATTTCGTAAGACGATCGTGTGTCGCGTCGAAAGTTTCTAAAACGCGAATTATGACAATATCATGCGCGAATTATCGCTCTCGAAGCAATTCAATCGTGTCTGGATTGTACTTTGATCATAGATCGGGAAAGAGAGGGAAACTTCGATAATAACAATTTTCCGCGGCTAAGTTGGTCGGGCGTGACGTGCCCGCAAAGGAGGAACATTCGTTGCGTCATTAAGCGTTATTAGTTCGTTGTTAATTCTTTTTTCAGTTTCGTGCTTCGTGCGTCATTAACGAGTCGTTAAATTTTAACGAGCCAATAACCGGCCGGCCGTTGTTCGACTTGTTTTTGGATATAATGACCGCGTCAAGCGCATGAACTTTAATTTTTCCCGCAACAATCACGCTATCTGTATGTTTTTCGATTTGCCTTGTTTTTTTTTTTTTTTTTTTCAAGCAAAATACCTTTCGCCAGTCTTAAACTTAAAGAGCAAACGGCTCGATCGTTTACGTTTAGTCAAACGGTGCATTAATTTAACGCTCTTCTTATGCGAGAAAATATCTTTCTTTTCTCTTCACATTTTTTTTTCCATAGAAGAAACTAACGAAAGGCACCTAAAAGACTCGCAAGGTATGTTGAACTCGATACTCTCGACACAAGTAATTTCGGAATCCGTTATAATGAAATCTGCCGTGAAAAACTCAATATTATTATCAATCAACGATTATTACCGATATTATAACGAACGTGAAAAATACTCGATCGCTTTTAGTTAAAACGCTTTTTGATTAAATAACAGTGTTCTACGTTCCGCTTAAGCGACCGCGGGGAAAAAACGCCGCAATAGGAAACGGCAGTCGAGCATGAACGCGAGAAATTCCGCGAGATAAGTGGTGGTCCTTCACAGAGAAGCGAAGAATGTTGCACGCCAGCCGCGATAACGATAACGATGAACACAGACCCGGGGAAAGAGGGAAAGAACGGAAGAGAATGAAAGAGAGACGGGGGGGGGGNGCTCGTGCACATAATTAACGGGTTTCCGATTGGAGCTAAGTTCCTCGATAACTGCAATTGTATCGCCGTTGTACGTTTTAAGTAGCGATGGGATACGGTATGATTAAAGTGCACACTCGAGTTTTTCTTTTTTTTTTTTCGGGATCGGCGATGCTATTTCCAACGTGCATTACCTGCGTTTCCTCGTACCGAAAATTAGCAGTCTACGTGCGCGTAGTAAATACAACGTTTTTTTTTTGTGCAGGAAAAGGGAGAGAGAAAGAGAAAGAGAAAGATAATTTTATCTTTCTAATATTATATACACAATATTAAGTCATATTACATAGACACGTGTATTAAAAGAAATTAAGCGTCGTGGTTCAAGAACATTTGCAAAATGGTAATAGTGCACGATTATTATTATTATTATTATGAAACACCTATTACTTTGAAATTGTTACATCTGTTTCACACAGAATTATCACATTGTACCGGACATTACTGATCGTTGAGTTATCCAATCACTAAGAAGTTTTCAAGAGCTACGCAACCATCGCATAGCTCTTATTGGCTTGAAAATTTCTTAGCGACTGAATATCTGAGAGCTTTAATATTTAATCATACTGATCAACACAGAAATTGCATCTTGGATCTAAATCGTCAAT